TTTACGACGATCGCGGAATCGTGATTATACCTCTGCACCGGGTAGGTATATATATAAATATACACTATATCTCAAGTGTAAAATCGTCAGTCACGTAGCCGTGCAGAAATAAAAAGTGTAGCGTTACTCCTTCGACTCACCAGACTTTTGCGATACGTCGCTCCCAGGATGGACCTTAAGGCCGACACGCCGGGCAGGTGCAGCGCAGCAGATGATCACCCATGGCGTCAGGGATTACTTTTGGCGGTCACCGGTGAAACGTCCTCGAGCACAACGCCGTGGAAAATAATACTCACTCGGTCCCGACGGATCTTCCGAAAAAAACAACGAAATTCCAGAGGTGGAGGGAAAAAAATAAAAAAATAAAAAAATAGAAATAGCAAGAGGAGCGGGTGCCGAGCTCGCGGCGTCGCGGCAAGAGTTAGAAAAAGAGCCAGAGCGGTTCGGTGGCGGGACAGCCCGTGAGCGACGGCACGAAGACACAGCGGGTGGTTTCGGCCGAGCTGATGGGGCCGGAAGCTCGGGAGCGCGCGCTACGCACTATAATATATACATGCACCCATCAGCCGAGGAGCCAGTGGCCAAACGGCGGGAGGAACATTTTTGCCACACAATGCGCGCTCGTCGAGGTCTAACCTTGCACTATGTGTGATTATGTGCGCATAGGTGACGCACCACACGCTGCAAACGGTATACTTATACATGTGTGTGTGTGTACTAGTCTTTTTTTTTTTTTTTTTTTTTCGCTCCTTCGGGGCTGCTGTAGATTGTTGATTAAAGCTCCATGGTTTGGAGAGAATGTAATTTTTATTACGTTCCATATCTATCCGTGATTCCCACGGATCATGTATTTTACATAAAAAAAAAAAAAAATCACGTAGGACAATGATAATACGGGCAATCCGAAGGGCAAGTAGATACAGCCGCGTGTGGTAAGACACGGCTATCTTCCGGTTTTTGCCGATGATCCACTGCTGAAATCATTGGAAAAATACTTGCAAAGTAATTTGATAATCGAAATTCACCAGAGAATCTCCTGCGATATTCTCGCATCCTTTTACATCCTTTTAGCCATCCTATACGCAGGGAAAAAATGAATTCAGTTTTTATTGAAGCGAAATAAAGCTTGTACAAACTCCCTTTGATTTTCTTGAAAAGAAAAAAAAATAAAATCCATGGCTTTGGAAACGAAGGCAAAGATCACATGAAGGGAGAATAGAACATTAGAAAGCTTGGGGATTCCAGACAGAGAACGTGATGGAAGTTGAGCAGTCGATGACGGCGAACAAAAGAGGGTCCACGTGTGTGTAGGTGGGCACTCAAACGACACCACACAGCATGGCCCTGATGCAGCCACATGCACAGCCACGTTATAACGCAATATAAACGTAAAGCGCGCACAAGTATACTTTGCACAGCGAGAGAGAGAGAGAGAGAGAGGCAGCGTAATGAAACTTTAACTGATGGGCCCCGCATTATTGCTTCCTCGGGACCAATTAACTGCCACACATATGCGTGTATACATTTATACGCGTGGCTGGTTGCGTGTACATCGGCGTTTATCGTTACTTGTTCGCTTCGTGGGCCGTGTAAGCCTCGCATCTCCGAGTACTTACGCGTATAGGTATTTCGATATATGGAATGAATAGACGCACGTACGAACGATTACATACTATCGGTCGGATGCCTTAAAAGGATAAATTATCTTGATGGTCGATTAATTTCAGCTAAATGGTGTCGGATACGCATAGGTTTAGAGATGCTCGTACGAATATACACATAAGATGACATTCATTCAACAATGGACCTTTGATCGCAGCTGTTGTTTTTTTTTTTTTTTTCCTTTTGCTTTTAATCGCCATACCCTTGACAAAGTTTAAGGTCCGGCCTATTGTGTGTGTGTACACATTCTGGCTCATTAACGAGACGGAGCATATGACCAAAGGTAAAACTGTATGGCGTTTCCCGTATGTACAGTGACTTTGAGTCGTGATTGGGAAACTGGAGAAACTATCTTTTTTTTAAGCACTACGTGTTGCGACTCTTTCGTGGCTATGAGACGAAAGATAAAAGTAAGGCCGACACAAAATGTTATTTCTGACCACCACGAGAAGCTATACAAAAGTTATTACTCTACTCAAATCACCGATGACTCGTGTCACGCGCTACCATTATCTTTTTTTTTTTTTTTTTTTTTTTTTTATTAAATTCGTGCAATATAATAAGTGCACTTGTATGGCGCAGGAAAAGAGATTAATTTTTCTTTGTTTGCTGCACGAGACCTCAACATTTTACACATTGTCTGGACTATTAATTCTTGCGAGAAAACAAAAAATAAAAACTCTGATTACATCTCGAGTGCGTACACGTACGTTTCCCAATTTGGGCTAATGGTTGATTTATCTCTGCGAAACACTGAAGAGCAAAAAATCTCCTCGGAGCCCAAAACTTCGGGGGGCAACCGTGAAATATAACTCCGTGTGGCTTTCGAAAACGGAATTAATGCATTACGTACACTCGGGACGGCAATTACTGGGCCCAGGCGATCATATCTGCTTGAGGTATGGACTTTTCCGAGTGTAGTGGTAGCTCGTGCCGATGGACGGACGAACCGTGTGTTTTAACGGGAGGACTCGGTATCCGTCTTCGTCGGATCGATTGGCAGTTTTGGGGTGGAGGTTCGTGGCCCTCGAATGGACGGTATTGGGGAGGTGAGTTCACATTGAAGAGGATGTTTTTTGACGCATCCCTGTGAGATTTCGTTATTTTCATCCATACATCACATAACTCCTTTAGCGATCGCTCGTGTCTTGTAAAAAGATTTATTATTCCTATACATTTTTACGCGATTCTTTACATGCGGTTAAGAAGTTTTTTGCACGATTGACAATGTTTTTAGGTATATTTCCACCGTCGCACTTTTACAAGCAGGAATGACCCATTGAATTTAACAAGGGGTGCAAATGATTTCAAACCGCTATATGAATATACCCTTAAATCATGGAGCTAAAAATTACGTCGAGAGAGAGAGAAAACTACCTCTGTGATAAATTCATTTGATTAATGAAAAACAGAGTTTTGCCATCATTTACGTTTTTGTGGTGATATTTCATTTCAAAAGTTTATAACGCTAAATAGAATTTTCAATCTCGCTCCATATTGTGACGCATATTGTTGAGCGAATAATAGATTATTGTTGAAAGAATACATAAATTACGTAGTAGACGAAGTCGTGATTCGCCAAACAAAATTGAAAGTAAAGTCATACTTACTATATTTCTTAATTTTCCGAATAAACAACTTTGAAAGAAACTTTTTAAGCAGAACTTCTTAAACTCGACAAAGTAGTACAGATGGCACAGAGATCGAATGAATATCATATTTTTTCGATAACTCTCCCGTAAAAGAGAAATTTAACTGAATGGCCATAAAACCTCTGTGCGTCACCCGAACTGACGCATACATAGATGTACGTAGGTACGACTTACCATCGTTGCACTGCATTTTGCCTCTGTATCCCATTCCGTCAACATATTTTAGTCCCTCATACGAACTGGAGGTATATGGAAATAAGTATATCGTGGTCCTAAACAGAAATGATAATCTTCTAGTATTGATATTTTCTATTCCTATATGCAATTTTTCATTTTTTTTTATTTATGCTTATACATTTCTTATCATGAAAATGCTTGTATCCGGCCATACGGAAAATGTAACACTAAAATTCTATGTACGTCAATTCTTGCAAACATCACATATGTTTTTCCATCAGCACGGAAAATGATACGCCCTCCATTATTCCTACACGAAAGATGCAAAATCGATTTTCGTCTCTTCACATTTTGCAGATTCTCTTAATCTCTAACTTGTACGAGCTCATGGGGATTTTCGTTTCTTTTCTTGCTTGAAAGCGTTTTAATTATTGCTCCCTTGCGAAAGTTACGTATCTTCCCTTAGCAAGGAGTGATTGCTGATTTTTTCCCGTATTTTGTGGACTAAAAACAACAGAGCAGCAAATGAAACGCACAACTCTGTGAATTGTTACCGTGGAAGAGAAAAAAAAAAAAATTTGTTTAAACGATAGAACCCCACAAACCACATTCCTAAAGTTCTTCTGTTAAATTGTCATAGCATTTCAGCAAATGTACATTAAAATAAAAAAAAATCACCCATGAATTACATAATGCTCCCACGTCACATCTCCACCCTCTCGCGGTACAACCGACCAAAACAACGACGCATCAACGCCCACTATACACATTTGCATGGAACAATGTTACGTGATTTCAGTCCGGATTCACAATTATACCCACTTCAGCTCCACAAAACGGCCCCCTTTCATCATCATCAGCGAGTCAAAACATCCCTCGGCTTGGCAACAAAAACAATAACACACCCCCAAGAACGATCGTCCCTTCACCTCATATTATACGTATATATATATATACTTATACACCAAACCCGATCGATCGACATTTGCCTTGGGTCCCCCTCCCTAAAAAAAAAAAAAAAACTCCCCATTTTTTTGTAAGAAACGCTCCGCGCAAACATTTCTAACCCCTCCTCGGGGGCTGTATTTCCCGGCTTTACATATTTTTGTACGCGTGTACCAAAAAAAAAAAAAATAAATAAAAAAGAAGAAAAAAGAAATTTCAAAGGTCAAAGAGCCAGATATAGAGATATGGGGCGAGAACTACGACACCTCCAAGAGGCTGAGGAGGGGGTGGGGCTTGTTTGTCACGAGTATTCTTTGAGGATCTCGGTTACGGAGGGAGGGGGTGGCCGGGGGTTCATCACCAGATATTCCGTGTACCTGGAGGTGTACAGCCCTACGAGGGGGTGCGCGCGCCGTCAGCTCAGCGGCCTCGTTCCGCGGGTTGTGTGCGTGCGCGTGGATTTTCTCCTCTTCTCACCAACCACCCACCCACCCACCCTTTGCTCGGTACTTTTTCCCGCCGTCGGACGGACAACCTCGGCAGTCAATCCTCACCCCCCGGAGTGCCAGGTACGTCGTGCGTGGTTCCCTATTTATATATATATTTATACGTGTGTGCGTTTGTGTGCACGGTTGAGCTAACATACGTGTGTATATATATATATATATACTGCATTGTCCTACGCACGTGGCTCTACGCGTATATATAGGAAAAGTCGTGTTTTCGAGTGGGTGAGGACGAGTTTCGGGGTATTTGTTGGTTCACCGATTGCTGTTGCTATAGGTGGTGGTGGTGGGTAACGCTCTTTTTTTGTGCTTTTCTTTCAATCGAGTGTGTTTGGCCTTCCCCCGCGCTAGTGAAGATCCATCGAGGAAAGAGCTCTCGACACTACACATCGCTATTTTCTTTTTTTCCAACTGGTGAGTGATGAACCTTTGGTACTGACATACATACGTGTATTTTTTGTGTTTTCCGATACATACTGCCGATCGAAAGATGCCATTTTTTATGCTGCTATCTTCGATCCGAACAATAATACGAAAACGGTGTCTCATTCTCCACGTGGCGCACGTGAAAAACAAGCCTATATACGTACGAGGTCACTCGGTGCATTTTGATGGAAACTACATTATTGACATACGTGTGCGAGCTAATGCAAATGCCAAAAGCTGTCGTCGTCCTAATTTGATTTTCGCCACCTCGCGCCCTTCGACTCCTCTCCCTCTCGCCCCGTTTCGGCTATTGTTTTCTCGTTTCCGTTCGTTACTCCGGTCTCGGATTATTCCCACCGGGGAGCAAAACTCCGAGGATTGTTTTTTCTCCCCCAACTACGCCGTGCTCTCGAGTTTCCCTTTTTCTCTCTTTTTTTATTTTTATTTTTTTATTTTTCCATATCCGTACAGTTTTAATTTAATCCCTTGCGCGTCGATGGAGGGCTGGAATTTAAATAAACGACAATAAATCCACGTGTAATTCACGCCCCCCCAGAGTGTGTGCACTGTTGACGTTTCTCGGAAGATTACCAGCGAGGACCCAACGTCCTTCAACTCGGCTCTGTTTGTAACAAATGGCCATCTCGTGAATTTTGAGTTTTAATGAAATTCTCGCGTGTACCCCTTGGTGTGCCAGCTATGCGTGTGTTTCATGAGATCCCATTTTCTTATGAAAAAAAAAAAAAAAAAAAAAAAAAAAAACAGATTAAGGGAAAAAAGGAAAAAAAAAAAAAAAAAAAAAAAAAAAAAAAAAAAAAAAAAAAAAAAACAGATTAACACGNAAAAAAAAAAAAAAAAAAAAAAAAAAAAAAAAAAAAAAAAAAAAAAAAAAAAAAAAAAAAAAAAAAAAAAAAAAAAAAATAGTACGCGCAATGTCTCGTTTGCGTTTCACCGGTGCACACCGAATTATTAAACTGGTATACGGACCGAAGCAAAGTCGTTGGCGTGAATGCAATTATCCCTGTTTGTACACCGTACGACAAACCTATTACAAACTACTCTCTTTCTCTTGGCCCTCGTTTCTCATATTTTCACCCGCCACGAAATACTATGACCAACGTGAAATTATTCTTCTGTTGTTGTTGGTGTTCTTTCGAGCACAATGGGACCGAGCAAATTCCAGGGCAACAATGAGATGGAGTTTCACTGGTACATTTTTTTTGCACCCCACGCTGCACTATTGTTTTTTTTTTCCTTTATTTTTCGTATAGGATAAAAATAGCAGTAATGGAAAGTGAAAGGGGGCCAGGGGGTGCTATGCAGGTCGAATTCAGTTGGCGTGTGTGTGCGTACTCGGGACGGTTTTAAGTGACCGGGGCGAATCTTTTTTTTCTCTCTCTCTTCGGTGGATTTTTAATCATCGGGATTTTTCGAGAGCACCTCTCGCTCGACTGATTCGTTGGCTCCCTTTTTTCCACACACCGGCAAATTACTTTCGTTGCCTTGACAGTTGGAAACAGACAGTAAAAAAACTTAACGAATATAATAAATAAAAAACCAATTACATTTTTCTCCCGGTAAAACATAAAAAAAGCTCTCCTCGTCCGCTTTAAAACAAACCTAGTTTTTTTTCTTCCACGCGCGCGAACTTAGTTAATTAAGAGTAGTTCTTAGTAATGATGAAAAAAAAAAAAAACACTTGATTCACGGGAATTCTCTCTACTCTCATTGAATCGACACAACCAAAGCACGGTAGACCGCGAAATTTCGTCCCGTTGTGCTCCAATTGTGAAAAAATACACCCGCGGAAAAAAAAAAAAAACAATTATCCGCAAACAAGAAACGGTGTTCTGCGCATCGGAAGTGAATAAAAAGAAACGAGGAAAACCGTGCTTTCCTCCGATGCGCTACATCGCAGGAGTGATAATGACTGTATATATAGGGACTGAAAAGAGGTGCGAGAAGGAAAGAAAAAAAAGTCAGAGATCGCGAGGAGAAAGCATACTTTGATGCTCGTTACCTTAACCGTCGTCATCCCCGCACTCGTTGAAACTCGAGTGTTGAGCAAATTCATCCGATACGCCTGTTTATGCTCCGAAAGCTCCCTTTAAAAGCTCAACCTCTAAAAAAGACGGATACACGCGAAAGCGAAAACATAAGGCAGCGCGCGCCAAAGCTCCAGTTTCCCGGAGATCGTGTTTCTCAAGCCCAGCCCCTTTCAGGGGATGCTGCTTGGGGCACGGAGGGGGCGCTGGAAACTGTGTTTTCCACCCATCATGATTATTTCTTACGCCAGGGACGCCCTTTCGTTTTACTTAAAAAAATATATATGTATGTATATATAATCTCCATCATCGAGAAATCGCTCGAAAAGGTTCCACAACCGGGCCGACGAAAAGGCCGAGCCAGATTATCTGGATGAATTATGGCTTTCACTTTGCCGGAAAGCTCGCTCTTTCAATACATGTTTTTCGGGAGCTGATTGATGAATGACGCCGTGCCTCAAACGCGGAGGGATAATTTTCGGGACTATCGTTTTTTTATTTTTATTTTTATACATACCAACGATCCATCTACTCGCGCATGCAAGAAAAACAAGGGCAAGGACCTTTTCCTCCATCACAACGATTCCTTGGCTTTTCCAGTAGGAGAAACAGTACACGGCACCGAAAGAGGAAAGGGGGGGGGGGCGCTCACATCCACGCGACGGCGGCGTAGCAGAAGGAGGAAACAATAATTGCGGCTTTCCTGCCTCCGCGACGGGCTCCAATTAGGTAAGTGCCGGCGCAGCGACGAGCTCTCCCTTAACGAATCTTCCATCATCACGAAATGATGATTATGACGATGATCGCGAACTTTGAAAATTCCACGGTCCATGTACGCATATACTGGCAAGTCTTTGAATCAAGTAAACGAGACGCTCGGATTTTCATTTATGAATTATTAAATCCACAAGTGCGAGCTTCGATTTTCGATGCTCCGCTCAGTTGGATTACTAGAACTAATTTTCTATATTTACGATTTCGAGTTACCGGACTGTGCTTACCGATCACATCGTGCATTCGAAACGATGGATAGAAGCCAAGCGGGTATATACATCACATTGTAGTTACGGAAACGTTCCCTTTACAACTCAATTATCCGAAAGCAAACTCGGCTCGTTCCATAAATAGGCGCGCGAAACTTTGTCGATCTCGCCAGGGGTGTGCCTTCCTACGACCCTTCGAGTTATTCGGTTACACGTCTATTGTTTGCTGTACGGCCTGCTCTGTTTGATCGTTTCTCAGAAAAATCTCGACAACGATTATGCACGATAAGCGATAGCAGAGATCGGTAGCGAGATCGATGTGCGTTGACCGGAAAATTCGTTTTAGCAGCCGAGGTTTTGCGGTACATTGGGGATAGTGGATTTCCTTTTCTTTTTTTTTCCATCCAACAGAGTGTGTGTACGTGTAACAGAAATGGGGGTGTAGAGGGTAACAGAGAAAACCACTCCCTGACCCTGTCCGAAACCATCCTCCTGGTTACACGCTCTCTCCTCTTTTTTTTGGTAGGTACGTTTCAGATTAAATGAAAAAGTAGACTTATTATGTATTGTCGATCTTTACTTTATTTAACTAAAGTGAAGATCGACAGTACAGAATAAGTCTACTTTTTCATTTAATCTGATATGGATCTTCATCAAGTGACGACCGATAATATAGAATATTTTAGGTACGTTTCTTTGACTGTCTCGCGTTCCAAAGCTTCAAGTAGATTATAAACACAATTAAGTTTTTGTTTTTATATAAATACCCTAATTACTCGTTCGCATTTTCCAGCTCTCGTGAAACGAATCGCTAATTCTAATTTTTCAGTGATTAACAATAAAGAACTCGATATTTATAATCGGTTGGTAAAAATCAACAGTCTTTGTTCTCTATTTATTGGTGACAGCGTGAAATTGAAACGAATCGATGGCAAGATATAACAATAGGTACATATCAACAGTAAAAAAAAAAAGAAAGAAAAAAAAACAATTTTTACTGCAAGAGCAAGCAATGAGAAAACAGAATTTCGAAGAAAAGAGTATATGGTTTTTGAAAAAATGAAAAAATCTTTGACCCCAGAGATTAACATCCGATTTGATGGATCGTACGAAAATCGGTCTCGTATACGTATTTTTGTCCCACGCAACTGTAAGCCAAACACTCACAGCGACCGAGAGAAAATTACACGTAACGACTTGGCGTGACTGTTACACATTGCAGGTATATTTGTATCGCTAGCTGCAATCGTAACTACATTTTTTTATTTCCATGCATCGTATCATTTGTATTTTTTTGAAACTCTGAGATTCTAATGAGGGCCCCCTGCGATTTGTGTTCAACCCACAGCACAACGATCCATCAAAAATGAAAAAAATAAAATATGGGTCAAACGTGCCATCCAATTTCCTGTAAACGTCATTGGAGATGAATATTTTCCGCGTAAAAATTACGAACAACACCCAACGCGTACGTCGAAAATTGACGTGATTAACATCGTCGAGAATTCCACTTTGGACTTTCCAATTTACAGTATCGATCGACTCGCCCCGCATCATTTTACACGTTCGTTTAGATGTGGTCGAAAGTCGTGGTGCACAACCCACGCCGGGGATGATATATATGTTATATATTCAACGAAACAAACGGAGCTCCAACATTTTTTTTTATACGCGCCAACTTCGTAAAACGACGCTGGGATGAAACATCGGCTTTTTCTTAAGTATAGCTCTTCGCTCCGGCACACGTGAAAATCCAGCTGCCGAGTGACCTCGTGTATATAATATACACTCACCCCAGAGAAAAAACCAAATCCATCAGCACCGAAAAAATTCCAAGGCCCCGTTCATCAATCGCTCATTGTGCATCGGCGCGAGCAACTTTGTACAATAGGTACATGTATGTACGCAAAGGAGAGGAAGCTCGTGTGCCCGCACATGCACGCGTGCAATTATCACGGGT